GGGGGGGGGCACCTTCCAAAATCCCTTATTTCTTTCTGTAGTCTCCATAGAAGGTGGGGTGGATGCGGATCATGCAGTGGCCACCGTAAGGGGGACCATTTGGCAGCGTCCTCTCCCCTCCTGGACATCCAGGATATAAGTTCTGGGGACTGGTTCATCTTATTATGCTTCTAACTATAATGTAAGGCTGTGCTGCCGTGCTGATGCATCTCCTATACTGCTGTTGTTTTGACCACTGTTTTGTTACAACTTTACCCCCATAGGTTACGCGTTCACACCCTAGTTGTTTAGGGGTGGATGCAATTTCAAGGTGTTGGTTGACTTGTAGTCAGTGTCAGCTAATGTGCAACTATGTAAAGCGCTGCGTAAATTGTTGGCGTGCTCGGTCCTCTATATAATCTTTGGTGGATATGGCTCCGTTTTCGCTTTACTCCCTGAACGCCAGGGGCCTGAACATCCCTGAAAAACATTCTAGGCTGCTTTCTGACTTGCGGGGAGCTAGGGCACAGGCAGCCTTCATTCAGGAAACTCACTTCAACAGGGACGCGGCTCCCAAATTGGTCAATCGTGACTATGCAGTGGTTTACCATGCTGTGCCCCTGTTCTCCAAATCTAAGGGTGTGAGCATCCTAATCTCCAAATCGGTAGCTTGGACTTGGGTTGACAAAATTGTTGATGAGCTGGGTCGGTATCTGGTAGTCAAGGGACGCTTGGGCGCGACTATGTGGCGTTGGCCAATGTGTATTTATAAGAATACCACCTCTATGTGGAACAATGAGGTGGAAAAATAAGTTATACTCCAACCAAAATTGGATAATTAATCAGCCAATTGGCTTACTTTATTGATTAGAAAAATATAATTTATACATTTAGGAGAGTATGAACACAGCAAACACCGTGACAAGAACCTTATATTAAAATTGGCAATGTTGTCAATACATCACACTTAATAAAAACAATAGAACAACACCATACCTATGACCCTTTCTATTTAAGTATAGTGACCACTGGTATAAATTGCTATGGATTGATGGCAAAGACCGCCTCGAGGTGAATGTCCACTTCCCTCGTGGTTTGAACACTGAGTTTAACTTATAAATGTTTCTGTGAATTGTTTTCAATCTCTGTTTAAACCAAGTCCTAAGTAATAGAGTCATTGCCATACTAATGTCTGAGAAGGACTTCACCTCGTAAAATACAGTTGAAAATAGTACTGTTGTTTTATCCTTTGTGACAAATGTATACTGCAATACAAAGAAGGGGTTAATAAAGGAGTGGTTGCCAATTAGAGATCACTTCAAAAGTACCATTGACCACCTCCCCTCCTTATGTTCTGACGAAGCCCCGAAGGAGGCGGGGCGAAACCGGTAAACTGAGGTTCAGAGCAACCCGATACCATGACCCACATGACTGCCTATGCTGAAATAGAGCTCTGAAATTACACATTGGACTCTAGAAACTGCCACTGCTTAGCTCCCTGATTGGGAGACCTGATATGCCAGACATTCTACTCTACAAGTGGGAGACTTCAACTGTGAGAGGTGCCGTCTCTTCTGATCGTAAATATTTGGCTACATTTTGGCCCTTCAAGATTAACCACATAGTGGCCTTCTCTGATTGCTGTCCTCATTGAATGAAATGTTACTTTGAATTTCAAAAGCGCAAGAGTTTCTACCCTGCCATCAAAGTGTAAATTTATTGAAGCAATGCTTTTTTGTCAGCTACAAAGAGATCACTTCAGAGCCATATGAAGCATCCCTAAATTCTTTACCAATACCCAGGAATAGGGTTAACATATTTGGAATGTGTCTTCTGCTCTAGAGGGAAGTGGACATTCACCTCGAGGCGGTCTTTGCCATCAATCCATAGCAATTTATACCAGTGGTCACTATACTTAAATAGAAAGGGTCATAGGTATGGTGTTGTTCTATTGTTTTTATTAAGTGTGATGTATTGACAACGTTGCCAATTTTAATATAAGATTCTTGTCACGGTGTTTGCTGTGTTCATACTCTCCTAAATGTATAAATTATATTTTTCTAATCAATAAAGTAAGCCAATTGGCTGATGAATTATCCAATTTTGGTTGGAGTATAACTTCTTTTTCCACCTCATTGCTCCACATAGAGGTGGTATTCTTACATATATGCTTATAGGTTATCAACCATATCGGTTGATGTGTAATTGTTACACACTATAGTGGTATCTTTTTATTCTATATACGCCAATGTGTATTTGCCTAACTCGGACCAGCTACAGTCCTGCATTCCTTTCTTACTCGCCTGTCGGAGTTTCATGAAGGAACACTGATTTTGGGTAACGATTTTAATGTGGCTCTAGACCCTAGTGTAGACACCTGCAGGGGTGCCTGCTACCTCTCATTCCCATACCTTCGGAAAATTAAAATAGCTCTCCAGCAGCATGGACGTGTGGCTTACCCTGTACCCTGAGGGACGAGATTTCACGTACTACTCGACCGTCCACCAATCCTACTCGAGGATCGATTATTTTTTCATCCGTCACGGAGACTTAGCTAAAGTTATTTCGGCAACTATCGGTTCCCCTTTCCTCTCTGATCACGCCCCGATCCAGTTGAGTGTGGACCTTTTAGATCCCACTTCCAGGTGTTCCTCCTGGAGGCTCAATGAGTCTCTTCTGCAGGATCCTACCATCCGCGAGGACCTATTGGCTTCCCTAGCGGACTACTTCCACACTAATGTTAATGACTGTCGACCTTCTGTCTGTGTGGGAGGCGCACAAGTGTGTCATACGGGGCGTACTCATTAAACATGGTGCTAGAAAAAAACGGGAGCGCAATGCTCTGTTGCGCCGCCTGCGCGGATTGGAGGTGGTACATAAGAAATGTCTGGCAGTGGCGTCCTACAGGGAGCTAGTGCAGGTTCGAGAGGCTCTTAACGCTCTACTATTTGTGAGAGTGAAGAGGCGTGTCATATGGGGCAGGAGGACTCTTTATGAGTACACCAACAAACCTGGCAAATACCTAGCCGGGGTCCTACGTGGCCCGAGATGTAAAACTTTCATTTCTCATCTGACTTCCAGATGGGGCTCTCAACTTACGCTTTCAAAAGATATGGCGGAGGAGTTTTGAGACTTTTATCATCGATTGTATAATCTGCAACCAGACTCCCATCTGCGGGAAGCTCCGGCCCGAGCGGCGGAGATAGACTTGTACCTCCAGAACTCTGGTCTTTCTTCCCTCTCCATGGAGGAGACGGAGGTTTTGGATCTTCCCATCTCCGCGGAAATGGCTTGTGCCTTGAGTCAATCCAAGTCTGATAAAGCCCCGGCCCCAGACGGTTTCACGATCCCGTACTATTGTAGGTTTCTGGATCAGTTGTTTACCCCATTTTTGACCTCCTTTAACTCAATCCACCTGAACCGTCCATTTCCAGTGGATTCCTTGAGTGCGCACGTTGAGGTGATCACTAAGGAGGGGAGTTATTGTCCCATAGCCCTGCTAAATGTTGATCTTAAATTGTTCGCGAAAATCCTGGCTACCAGGCTCTCACCTTACATTCAACGTTTGGTGCGAGATGATCA